CTTCTTTATGCTCCTGAAATTAATTCAGAAGATGGGTGCAAATGTGGCTTTTGCAAGAAGTTCCTGCCTTGAGGCTTCTTGCTTGGTAACACCTAGTATACAGATATATTTCTCTTGCTCTGATAATTTATTTGCAATATATCTTTCATTCATTCATTTGTTTTTCTTCTCTCTTGGGGTGTAACATTCTAACAGCAAAAGCTGATTTCTATTTCTATTTCCATTTAGATCTTACATGTCTAGAAGATGAATGCAAATATACAATTATTGTGATACACATTTGAAAACTTTGTAGCTTTATCATGGTTAGGATGATACAAAATCTCTTGGAAGTATATCTTCAAAATTGTGTTTATCCAGAAGATGGATGCAAACATGGTTTTGTGAGAAGCTCCTGCCTTGCTTGCGGCTTCTTGGTTACTGACACCTAAGGTACAGGTATAGTTCTCTCTCTAATAATTTGATTAGGATGTCTGGTCAGTTACATATTTGATTAGGACTTCATCTAGAGTATCATGAATGCATGGAGCTAGGAGACAGCTAGGGATGAGAGTATAGCAAGGGAGTGAAAGAGAGAAAGGGCATCAATTATTATGGAAGCACAGAGATGTTTGGCTCTAGCAAGTTTATGCCAAACTATTGAAAGCTGGAAAATAACTCTTTTATCTGCCCAAGAAGGAGAAGAAATAAATAAGTTAAGACTATGACTTCAGACAAAACTAGGGGAGAAAGGAAAGAAATAACAAAAAAGGAGAAGATGATAAGGTAGAGGAAAAGTAGAAGAAGAAAAAAGAGAGAGGATGATAACAGTCAGACTGCATGCAGCGCATATATATGCACTTATAGTGAAGATTTATTCAGCATCTCGTTCGCGAATTTGACTGATTTGCGTGTGCTCAACTGAGCATGATTTTCAGGGTTATTTCATTTTATTTCATTTCCTTTATTTCCATTTCCAACAAAAAAAATAAAATATATGAGATTGCATTGTACATAGTAAAACAATTAAACTTAACAATATAATTGTAATTGGTCCACAGTGTACAACAGGCATATAAAACAGGTTTGAGGGGACTGCTGAAAAGCTGGGCTTGTAGATTGCAGCCCCCCCCCCCCCCTATACCTTATAGTTGCAAAAATAGTATATTAATAATAAGGGAATGAAGTGCAATTTTGTTAGGGCTTCAATATTACACCATATCGCAGACACTGATAACACGTAAGGCCATGCATTTCGGATTTGTAAAACTTTAAACATTGTTAAACAATGCCTTTAAATGATTCTAAGCTGGCGCGAAATTATGCATGTTGCCCAAAGATTTGTATATGTCAGGACCCGGCTAGCTCTCCCAAGATGCCAGGGGCGGTATTTTGAAAACCGTTATATCTGTAATGTTGTTTTATCCTCACCTGATCCTAACTATTACGAAATATTTATATTTTGAGTACCTTTTTTGCCACTGGCATGCACTTTCCTCTCATGATATCCTTACCCAGCTTGAGGTCTAAACCATGTTCATGCATGTATACCTGATTTAAATAATAATTGCGCACTGCAAGATGATATAATGAGTTCATTGGTTTCCTGAAATTTTGTGGATCTTTTTTTAAATCTTATAATCCATGGTATTTACAGTAAAGCTTAGAGGCTTTTGTATATCTTGGGATGATGGTAACTTGTCTAGCTCAGCATCAGACACAATGAGACATTTGAAAGGAAGTACTAGTATACCGGCAAGTCTTCGCTATTTCAACTTATTTTCATCTACATACACTTGGTTTTTCTTGGTTCCTGACCGCGCTAAGCCATATCATCTCATCATTTTGATACCAGCAGAAAGATCTACATTTACTTACATTAATCTACAGATGACAATTTTGTGTTGACGCAAAAGTAATTTAATGTTGAAAAATAGTGCTGAAATGCAAAGAAAATGCATATCTTTCTGCTAATATCCAAACCTAAATATCCACTCCAAACACCTTGTGGAAATTATTGTTATGCATCGGCAAAGAAAATTTAAAATCTTGTCTTTAAAATGAGACCAGGATCATGCAATATGAGGGACTTTAAGGTTAAAAATTAAAGATTATAACAGCCCCATGCATCGCTCATTACGTATTGTTTATAAATAAATATGAATAAATAGATGTGAATCATCACACAAAGTGGATTGACTGATAAGCTACACAGGAAGACCTTAGGAAAAGGATATTATTGAGGAGGATTGAAGTGGTCCTCCCTTTTTGTTGAAAATACTGTCAATTGAATCACAGTACTGGTATTTAAAAAAAAATTGATGGAATTTTTCAAATTATATTGTTTTGAAAGCATAAATGGAGGTCATACGATTTTGAGTGTGACCGAAAGTGCACTGACTCTCCAGCATCTCAAGATTGTGTACTTAAGATATACAGCTGTCTCAAAAAAACAGCACATTTCAAGACCTTAAGAGTAATGCAACAGTATGCCCTAAAACGTGAAAAGAGTATTGCTGTAGATATCGCCCATCCGTTCATGATAATTAAATTTTGATTGAATTTTTCCATCCCCTAATCAAATTACGAAAATTGGAAAAATAGATACGATAACCAATCACCATGACATGTGTTACTTCTATTTAATGTGCACGGTAGATCTAGATTCAAGTAATCTATGAAGGAGCTCACTCCCTACTGCTCTTCAATTTTTGCAATCTAAATGAATTAATGTGATATTAAAGATAGATACAGCAGCTAGCAGTTGTCACAAAGAGTGCACTCTATTTATTTACCAATGCAAATGTACAACCAGATGTCAGAGTATAAAAGTACTGGTATTTATAATTTATGCACTCCCTGCAGTATTTGCTGTATTAAACACACTGAGTTGCTTAGTTAAGATCTCTTAGGATTGTAAAGATTTAATTGCAATGTAAAGCATTTGTTGTAGTCGACACACAAAGTTAAATATAACTGACAAACACCGGGAGAGAAAGAGAGAGATAAGAAATACTGGGTGTTCAAAAACGCTCTTTTATATATTTTTTTGCTTTAAAACACTTTCTAATCCAGTGTTTTTCAACCTTTTAACAGACGCTGCACCCTTTTAAGGAATAAACAGCTTTTTGTCTTCCCGATTGCACCAATTGCAAAGTCATCGCAGAAGATTCATTTCTGCATCACCCTGGCACTTGTAAAATGCCATGTAGAAAAATATGGACACATATGTTTGTAAAGACAAGAATTGAGAGCAAGGGAGCAAATTTAGTATGGTAAAATTTGATATGGTAAAAAATATTATTTTGGGAATAAAAACACACTGAATAAGATATAAATTTATGTATGCTAGCACTCACTGCAGAATGCATGAATACAAAAATCATATAGCGGTATTCAATCACCTCGATATACAAAAAAAAGGATATTTGGGCATCTTGTTATACACAAATATCATGTTTCTAAACATTGCGAGGAAGTGAACCAAGTTGGTAAAAATTAAAACTGTAAGATATATTTGGGTACCTTACTGCCCAAATATGACTAAATTGGGCACCTTGCTGTCAAATAGAAGGATATTTGGGGATTTTGTAGCCAAATATGAAGATATTTAGGCACTTCACTGCCTGAAAACAAAAAACCTGTTTCCAAATGTTGCAAGCTAGCAAAGCGAGTTAGGAAAAAGACACATTATTATCCTTCAAAAGTTATTTGCTCTTTATAGATACTCAGCGGTTTCTATTCGCTTTCACAAAATTGATTTTTCAAATAACTATATTTTTCTCACAGTACCCCTAGAGATGTCTTGTGCCGCTGTTGAAAAACAGTGTTCTAATCAATAATAACAAAAATATTATTGCACAGTCACAAGTTTTTAAGTACCTTTGATGCTCAGTGGTAATTGTTTCCAACTAGCATTATTTTTCATTTCCCTACAGACAATATTTCATCGTCATGTTTGCGTCAAAAATGTTGTTTTGTGGAGCAAGCAAGGGACTTTGTAATTTCGCTGTTGAAGAAATTATTTTCTATTATTTCAACTTGGTCTATTTTGTCATTTCCCTGCAGACGTGACTTTTATCTTCCTGTTTGCTCAGAAAGGGTTATTTTGTGGTGCAAATAAAGAACCTTGTAATGTTTATGGTGGCAGAGCTACGGGCATAGACCTGTAATGGATGGGCTGTGTGGGAATACTGAATGATTAAAGCCTTATCAAAGACTCAAGTTTGTAGGATTAGAAGTTAGATTTCATGTAAACTTAGTATTTCATAAATCTCTGAATTCCATGATGATGTTATGCCTGTTTGGATGTACATGTATTTTTCATATCTCGGCCCACAGATATAATTTGATCTACATATTTTTTTCAAAAACAATTTCTTTTTTGGAGAGAGGCCTTTACATTACTGCTGTGCTTCTAATGTTTATGTCTTCTTTGACTTGTCTTCTACTCTAGCATTGCTTTGATATGGTTTCATGATGATATTTAATGGTCATTTTGTCATATTGTCTTTTTGAAGTCAGAAGGTCTTTGAGTTAAAACCCTTATGGCTCACACATTCAATATGATGGTAATCAAATTGCTGTAAGGTTATGAGAACATACTGATATTGAACTATGATTTATGATTCTGGTTTGCTTATTTAGAAAAAAAAAGGACCCATTGATTGTCTATATTCCAATGAAATACATGAACAAGGATATGCTATTCCCTAGTAGTAATGATAATATGTTATGATTCAAGAATGCTTTTTTTTTTTGTGAGTCAAAAGGACATTAACTCTGTCCTAAATGATAAGCAAATCCCTTCTGGCTTTTTAATGGCAAACAACATTCTCTTTCAAGTCTTATGGGTCCAAAAGCAAAATTAAAGAAGATGCACTCAATTAAGTAGTTAACCCAGGCAATGAGCAACCACAATTATATTCAGAATAATTTGTTTCAATATAATTCACCATATAATTAATACATTTTGATTAAATGATCAAAACCATGATGTTTATTTTCATTTGCTCATACAGGTCTGTATAGTCCAAAAGCGAGACACAAAGAAGATGTACGCCATGAAGTACATGAACAAGGCAATGTGCATCCGAAAAGATGCAGTCCGGAATGTTCTGAGGGAGCAAGAGATCCTCCAGGCCTTGGAGCATCCCTTCCTGGTCAATCTCTGGTTCACCTTCCAAGATGAAGAAGACATGTTCATGGTGGTTGATCTCCTACTAGGGGGCGATCTCCGCTACCACATCCTCCAGGGAGTTAAGTTTGATGCTGAACGGGTCAAGCTTTATCTCTGTGAGATCACACTGGCACTGGACTACCTCCGTACTCATCTCATCATTCATAGGTAAGTGCAATAGACATACAAATGTATGTACATTTTCCACTGGTACTGGTTGAGAGATTTTCAGACATTGTCTGCTGAGAGACAGAAGAACAATAAACTGTCTGTGAAATATAATGAGATAATGTCCTGGTTCTCAGCAGGCTCTTGACTACCTGCACACACAATGCATCATTCATAGGTTAGTTATACTTGACATACTCTACATTTCAGTGTCTGTGAAATAAGGGGAAAATTCTTATATTTCATTTCTTGAGAGGCATAAAGGCACTAACACATAGAATCAATGCCCTTCTGGATCTCAACAGATCAATACTAGTGTAAACAGAACATCCCTATGTAGGGGTTAGATTGCAGAGTTTGGGACATACATGTCACCAAAGAACGTGTCTTGAAGAGATTTTATGACTTTCTTGGAAATGACTTTAATGATGTTGTTTGTCGTCTAGCGTTCCACATTGGGAATGTGCGGCATGACATAATTGCCCAAATCCTAGGGTTGTCATCTCAAAGTGCTGGGAATTGTGATAATAAAACACAAGTAATTGGGACGAGAACTGTAATATGGCTCATGGACAGATGTTTGACCAAAGCAATTAAAATAGTATCATGACATTGGTTGATTTCAGTGTCTTCCATGTCGGTCTACAAGTTAGCTGAGATAAATTAAGGTTGGAAGATCTGTATTTAGATACTTCATTGATGTATAAAAGCAAAAAGTAGTTGTTATGTTTCTGTAGAATTAGAACTGTTGGATGCCAATTATAGGGCACCAGGTGTGACACAAATGGTACTATTTTGAAGTCAGGGACTAATTAAAGCACAAAATCATTTGCTTGTATGGGCAAATTAAGTCCCAACACTAATTTTGAAGACAACATCAACTGGTAGGATTCAATCAATATGTCACAGAATCATTGATTTTCTTACAGATCACAATATTTACACATGGCCCACCCAAAATTCCATTTGAAATATTAAATTGGATTATTCGGCCATGAAACTTCAGTTTTAGTTCTTTTATTTTGAGGGGAGTTCTTAATTTATTCTGGATATCTTTAAATATTTACCATTTTCTAAAGAGCTAAATTAAATTTACAGGCAATTTTTTTTTAGAGAGATCATGACATCGAAGGTGAAGGTGCCATATGTTATTGATTAAACCATGCTGTCTCTCCTTAGACTTGATAAATCTTATAATATTGTCTAATATTTGTCTTCTGTTTGAATTCTTCTTGTCATCACATTAGAAGTAGTATGCCCTGAAAGTAAAGAAAATAAACCAAGGCTAGCACAACAACCTTTTTACTCCCTTCATTCTAAATGTCAAACTCAATTCTGTCTTGTTATCCACCCTTTTCCTGTGACTTTTCTCTGTTTCTTCCATCTTCATCGTCTGGGTACTCCCTAAGCCTCGTTCAGACATGTATGTTATTCAAGCCATCTTAAAAAGCACCATGACAAAATATAATGTTGGCCCAACTGCAGAATGCCTGATATAATGTATGAGGGTTAAGGCCATGTTCAGGGATAGGTTTAGGGTGAGGGTTAGGTTCTGTGGTCAGGATTAGGCTCAGTATCACAGTATTCTGCATTCATTTCTAAATATTATAAGCATAATCCACATCACAAAATCTGTATATTATAATATACATGTAACAAAAGAAACAAATACCTGGGGGCTTTGGTGCAAACAGCAAAAAAAAAAAAAAAAAAAAATCATCTCCACTTCTATTCATGTACACATTGTTGTTGTTATTGTACAACACCTATTATGGCAGCAATTGCTCTGCTGCCCATAATATATACCCTATGCTAGCCAAATATTTTACTTCAACCCATGACCAAACTCTATACCTGAACCGAACTATAACCCTACCTGTAAACCTAAAATCCAAATGCAACCATTACATCTATCTTTGACAAAAAACGAAGCCAAGAGCGTTTGTCAGGCAATATTTGATTGATGTTTGAGGACTCATGTCTGAACGAGGCTTTATGTGTATCCTTTCTAGAGCTGCCCATCCTCTATTGCCCCCATGCAAATCCTTTTTAAGCAAACATTAGAACTGCTGTTCAAAGATACTACTTTCAACTTGACCTTTCAAGCTTCATTACAGACTAACAACGTAGACTGAACATTATCAACACTCCAACATGTTCTCTAAAGAAGATAGATGCAACAATGATGGCATAAGATAATACCTTACTTGAGACAAAAATGCTCTCTAGTTGTATGAATCTTTATCACATGAATTAATGATATCATAATGAACTCATGGTTGTATTTGTGTCTTGTATTTTTGTGATATTTTAAGATTGAACTAGGTCAACTCTCTGATATTGTCTTCAAAGAGGGGCGGGCAGGGCAATAATGGTAGAATTTTATAAAATTACCTTACTTGCTTTCTTTTGAGAATTTAATTTTGAGAATTTTGTCTTTCTAATAAGGTATTATCTTTTGTTGTCCTTAGTGGAAATCGCCTGCTATCCATTTCTCAATATGATGTAATGTTTTTGAGGGTTTACATTAGAATTCCTGGCCGAATCAATACCAAAGTTCTAATTAACGGATGACATCAATTCCATGAAACTTGTGTTTCCACTTCAAGTGCTTTGCAAACCTCCTTGAAGATGATCCTTGCTGAGCCTGTCATCAAATAATCTTACACAAAGATAAATAGAGATAGATAGTTAATAAATAAAAAACAAGTGAGCGTGTACATCTTTGATTATGGCTGTCTGCAGGCACGCATGACTTCACACATATTTATGAGAGAGAGAACATCAAATTGGCAGCCTACGTTCTGGCAGACCGACTCCAGAAGATTATCAAAATGTGTCCAGTAATTCAGCTGTGCAAACAGCATGTCCAGCTAGAAAATGGTGACTAGAAAATTGATTTTGTATGTGTGTTCATTCTCCTACCCCCCTCACAAAAAAGATGTATAAGTGAATGTTGAGATGCTGCATAATGTAAACCAGTGAAGGAGGTGAAGAATGTGTTGCCTTCCCTCTACACCAACATGTATTCTCTTCACTACACGTCCCATGCACCACACCTATCGACCAATCACCACACACTCCTTTAATTAGTCGCCCAATCACCACCAAGAGCAATCTTCGTTAACCCATCACAAGCAAGGCAATTGGTTAAAAATCAACAAGTGGCAGCTCCTAAAAACTCTTTCTTTTCTGACAATCAAAGAGAAACAAGGCTCATTATAGAAGGATATCACCAAAGGAACTTTTAATTAATACTAATTACTCATGAATGACTCACTCACTGATTAGATGCTAATTAGTACTCCCTGTCTGGTTAGACTAGTATAACTACTTTGAGCAGAAGGATTTTAAGCTGTCCTCAAGTCAGTACCCTTATCAATTTCAATGCAAGTTGTCAGTTATTATTCATATTTTAGTTTGAGACTGACTCTTTCCCCATGAAGTTATCATCTGCAAAGTTCAATTCCAATCGCCTATTTATAGATAAAGTCCAGTTCTTAGAAGCTCACAAGTTGTGAGTTTCAATTGATTTCTTGCAAGCAAGTGATTTCTTCTAAATGAATTCTTGTGAGCATTCACACAGATTGTTGGCATATTTGACATGAAGTGATTGGTATTTACATGAAATTCAATAACAAATCCTCAGCTTGTCAGTTGCCTAAAGAAGACTATGTAGACAATAGAGAATGGTTGAGATATACTACAGAGATATAATGCCTTATTAAGCTAGCTTGGCTGACGCTGGCATAAAATAACTTTCTTTTTAAGCATAGAGACATTAGTGTTATATTATATACCTGACTTAGATTATTAATATCACATGTACATGGACTTAATGCCAAATGAATGAGCAAATATACCAAAGTACTGCCTTTAGCGTTGCTGTTTATTACAACGAATATCATGTAATGTGAGGCTCTCTAAATTTAGTCCCAGCTTCAGTCATACATCAATAGTTGAAGGAATGAGGACAATCTATGGTAAAAGATAAATCAGATGTGACATGAGGTGCTTTTAGCTGTTCCATTTATATAATGAACCTTTACATACTAAGCCTTCAATACTGGTTCATTATGCAGTGATCTTCAGTTTTTAATAGATTTCTGACTTTGCTTTCAGATTGCACAATCAATGGGACAAATTCTTACCATACTACTCATCATACACTTTTATAGTGCATAATTTATGTTTTTATAGGGAATGGGTCATTTTGGTACGGGCAAAGGTGATTTTTGTTTTTTGTTGCTCAATCTCATCTTCAAACAAACAATTTTTGTTGTTGTCCAAAATCTCATAATACACAACTGCCTCTCCTTTCTTCTACAAAAATTTAGAAAAACTTTTATAGATATTCTGCTTTAGTACTATTGCATGGCTAGTAAACGTTTTAAAAATACTTTTGACCCAAATTTTACTATCACATCACAAGTTTCCAGTCTCAATACCATCTTCATTTTTTTTCTTCAATTTCATGATAGAAACATTGTTCCATGATATCTAAATTCACAATTCATTACCCCATTTTGAAAAGTGAATTCAAGAAGACACACAAAGCTCTTCTTTGTCAAAATATTGGACACAATGTTCAAATTTGGTTGGTTTTAAATAAGGATCTAAGTGCTTTTATTAAAGTTAAGATCAAACATAGATTAAACATAGTTTGGTTATAATTTCTTTCTGAACTGAGCAGTATTCCTATGGATGATGCATAATAACCTTCCATATATTCTTATGGGCCTTTGCTTATTATTATGCAGGTTTAAAAACAAGTTGGCTGTTTTTTTTCTGATTGGATATTCGGAAATGAAGGTCACATACAATCCCTGGTGTGTTGTTGAGAGATAGCGGAGTTGGTGAATATTTCAGCCAGCCATTGAAGGAATGGAAATTACTTTCTCTTCAAGGATGTGTTGTCAAGCTGCTACTTGAAGTGCAGTGGCGTATCCAGGGGTGGCCCTTCTCCTGAGGGGGCAATCCTATATGCACATGTCATCTGT